TCGAACGTCCGTAACGTGGATTCTTAATGTGGTTTGCTAACTTTTCGGAAGTTATTTTAGTCGAAAAGGACAATCGCTGTTCGTAAATGTATCACTCTTACTCACTCGATCCAAATGAGGAAATGGAGGTCTTTCGTTTTACATGTAACTGAAAACTACTCCTTGCGCACTCATAGCTTGAGCAGGTCCACACACACCCAGTACAGTATTACATGAATATCGACAAATTTTCAGCGCAGCAGTGGAGCATTCCCCCATCTGTAAGTTCATTAGCAAAAGTAGATATCACGACATTCCATGCACACTTACACGCCGTTCTGTATCATAGCAATAGCACACTCTCGATGAACCTTGTGTGAGCATGGCAGGATCTGACAACCGCTGAAAGCGTCCTAGATATAGAGAATTGATCAACGAAATCAAAATATTGAAATTTGGATATACAGAGTAATCTAATTGCCCTGTTTCCAGATTTCGACTCAAGAAATGCGAGCACCTGACTTCACTGTACGTGATAGGTGAATAAAACCAAATTGAGTGCTGGGCGTTAATTGCCTCCACTAAAGGGCAAAATCGTTTGGGAAATATTTTTCCCATCCCCTACTCTTAGCATTCATGATTAAATTACATAACTACCTCCAAACAGATGCAGCACTCATCATGTCCGGAATTTTCTCGGCAAGAATGTCTGCCTTCCAGCCTTTTGTCCAGACAGACGTTACAAACATCACAGTGGAAGGAGCGGTCCTTGTAGATGCTAAACGGGAAGAAGAAAAATCACTTCGCGCGTATTTACTCGAGCAGAACAAAATTTGTTGAGAATTGAAATTTCTAACTCATGCTGGAAAACGCTGTATTTCTTCTCGTTAAGCTGAAATAATCGCTGAAAAAGAAACTTGATACGCATGAGGAAACCAATATTTCTTTACTCTCGCCTTAAAGATGCATGGTGCGAGGATTCTTCATTTCTACTCTAACACAAGCCAATAACTCCCTGACTTGGTACTGAGGCGGGCCAATAATTCCCAGAGAATAAGCATATTATCCAAACAAACGAAAACAATACCTTCGATAATATTGTTTCACTTACCGGCAGATACCACATTTTGTGCAGTGATAAGGAGCTTTATCCTCGCCCGTGAAGTGTTTGCATACAGAGCAGAAATATGCTGAGAACTTTGTTTTGCATCTGGCACAAGTGTGGGCGTCCTGGTTGATCTTAAAAATCAAACATTCGAAGTTAACACGCTTATAACGCTTATAACCTAAGCGTAACAATATCATGTCTATTTACCTCTTGTTGATGGTTACAAATAGAGCACTCGACATAACACGCCTCTCTTGCTTTGGAGTTGTCATTTGGACACCCAGAGTTGTTGTGGCAGCGATGACAAGGAAAGAACCTTCCGCAGCATGGGAACTTAACACGGCAGAGTCGCTGGTAATGTTCACAAAGCCATTGTCTAACCTCAGCACCAACCGAGTTTTGCGAAGGTGTTTCTCGTCCACCACTCGTCGCGTTCCCTTCAACTCTTTCATTCCTGCGCTCCGTTTCTCTTGCTTCCCTTGCTTCCCTTTCTTTTTTTTCACGTGCCTGTTTTTCTTTCCTTGCCCGCTCCTCTTTTCTTTTCTGCTCAGTTTCTTTCATCGTTTCCTCTCTTTCTTGTCTTTCTTTCAACGTTCTTTCGACAAGCGAGCAAGCTTCTGCCACACGTCGCTCGAGCGCAGCCAATGATTCGTCAGCAGATGTGTTTGAATTACTGTTTAACAGACCCACACCAGCATCTACACTATCCCGGCCCGAAAAAAATCTCGGGGCGTCATCCTCTCTTTGAAACTGCGATGA